TACAAGGTTACTGTAAAGATCACGAATTCAAAATGATGCAGCGCTACCCTAATAATAAAATAATACAATATGGCAAAAACAAACAAAGTGACATAAATATATATATGTGACAAAAAAACAGTGGATTGATCCTCTCTGGGGATCTCAATATAAAGTGACATAATATATATGTGCCAATAAATCAGTGGATTGATTCTCTCTGGGATCTCAAGTGAAAAAGTGATCACAACTGGTATAAAAAAACAGGAACCAATACCCCCACTATCCAAAATAGGATCATACACAAAATAAAATAAAACAAAAATAAGCGTGAATCCCTAAATAGAGATCAATAAATTCATGCAAATGATGGTGAAAATGAGAAAGCGAACCCCTAACAGGGATCAACAATATCATGCAGATCATGACAAATAATGGCTAAATTAAGTCAAAAAGTAAATAGTGACATAAAATGGATCCCTAAATATGGGATCAATTAAATGCAATAGTGCCAAAAAACACACATACAAAAAGTATATTTATGAGCAAACACATAAAAAAAAAAAAGTAAGTGAACATATAATAGTCCGTAAACATAAAAAAACCCCGAAAAATTAAAAAAAAAAAAACTTAAAACAACCAAGTCCAAATAGGTGCATATATACCAAAAACTTTCCAATTACTCCTAAGTGCAGGTGGATGTGCATCACCACCGATGGAAATAATCCATATGTGGCTAAAATGCCCCCCTCACCTCCTTGATGTGACCCTCAAAGGGCCAAAACGCTTATTTGTTATTTGAAGCCAGGAATATTCATTGGTAATGGACACCTGCTCAGGTAGATGATATCCCCCTCACTAGGAACAGCCAGGTCCCCTCCAGCATAAAGCAGCCAGACACCAACTCACAGATAGGATAAAGATAAAAAGAAACCTCCCACGGTGTAAATCCGTTTTAATAGGGACTCTCAAATCACAGCACAGCCAAATGCCCACTCACATTTAGTAAGATTAAATAAGTTTTTCAAAAGACCTCATGCTAAAGATGTACTTGCATGGGAACTCATTGGGTGCAGCAAGATGGCGTCCGCACCGGAAGTACGTCACCACACTCACGTTCTACGCATTACATCACGCTATCACGTGACTCTTTTTATGTCACTTTGTTTGTTTTTGCCATATTGTATTATTTTATTATTAGGGTAGCGCTGCATCATTTTGGTTTCTTTAGTTTTTATTTCCACATGGTATATGGTTAGGTGCTAGCAGCTCCCACTCACCTAATTTATCACGTAATAGTAGCGCAGCAGATCTTCATTATTTTTGTTAAATATCACAAATTGTTGTTTCCACACATAGACTTAAATAGTGGAGACTCTTTTATATACAGTATATATATATATATATTTACAATTTAATGTTATGAGTATTCTACAGGTTTGAATTTATGAACTATGTGCACTATACGCTCTGTATTTGATTAATTTAGTAACTCTTGATCAGTGTGCGCTGTTAACTGAATTAATTTGTTTGTTATTAATGGATATTTATTCACATGTTCAGTTTGGAAGTACAGTATGTTGTTTATTTTGTTGCACTTGAGTTATATTTGAAGCGCATTCACCTATAAGTAAGGAAGTTTTATTTTAGTGTGGCACATTAAAATATATACAGTACATAACTAGAAATAAACTGAGAGTAAATTTACCTGAAGGTTGTTTTATTCTGCATTTCCAGGTTTGGCTAGAGAGGGGAAAGTGATCACATCTCTATTATTATTTAATATTGTTTGTTTCCTCATTGGGAGGATTACACCTCATTTTTTGTCCTGATGAAAGATCCCAGTGTTAAATGAGGTGAGGTAAAAACCTCTCTGTGTAGGAAAAGAATGTAATGAAACCTGAAAGGCTGGTTAGGGTGAATAGGGTTAAAGTTAGTTTTAGGATAAGTATTAGGAAAAGGGTCAGAGTTAGGATGATAAGTATAGGGATCAGGAACAGGGTCAGAGTTAGGATGATAAGTATAGGGATCAGGAACAGGGTCAGAGTTAGGATGATAAGTATAGGGATCAAGAACAGGGTCAGAGTTAGGATAAGTATAGGGATCAGGAACAGGGTCAGAGTTAGGATGATAAGTATAGGGATCAGGAACAGGGTCAGAGTTAGGATGATAAGTATAGGGATCAAGAACAGGGTCAGAGTTAGGATGATAAGTATAGGGATCAAGAACAGGGTCAGAGTTAGGATAAGTATAGGGATCAGGAACAGGGTCAGAGTTAGGATGATAAGTATAGGGATCAGGAACAGGGTCAGAGTTAGAATATTAAACAGTAAAGGTATTAGGATCAGAAAGAGGTTCAGAGTCCTTAAGATGAATAGGATCAGGAATAGGGTTAGAGTTTGGATAATAAGTGTTAGGCTCAGAGATTAGTATTAGGATCGGGAACAGGGTCAGAATTAGAATAATACATATAAGTTAGGCACAGGATAAGTATTAAGGGTAAATATTATAAAATACAGAGTTATACTCAACATAGGTATTCGGATCAGGAATAGGGTCAGCGTTAAGATGAGAAGTATTAGGGTTACATTCAGGTTAAGTATTAGGGACAAGTGAATCACAACCTGTGTTAGCATTGCTCTGGATTTACGCTGTCTTATCATAATCATATGTCTTATCATAATCAGATGTTTTTTCATAATCAGTAATTTCTTCAAAGAAGCAGGGTGTAACTAGATTGTGTCTATCTGGTTTTGTTTCAGAATGTGCATACACCAAGCAGATTAATGTAGATGGGAAGGTGACCAGCCTGGAGATATATGATCCCTGCTCACAGGTAATATAGAGACTTCCCAATGTCTGTGTCATTAGAAACAGGGGTGTATTTACCACAAGGCAAACAAGGCATTTGCCTAGGGTGGCATTTTTCAGAGGGGCAGCAGCATTTTTCAGGGGGGCAGCGCTGTCCCCTGAAAGAGGGAATGGAAGAAGGAACACAAGCAGCACGGGGACCAGGTGGGATCTAAGAGAGGCTGCAGGCTGCTTGATGGTGTATGCAGAGCCTGACTCTTGTTCCTGGAGATTTCGAAAGCTGTGAAGGTTAGTGTCGTATCTCTTGCCGGGGTAGGGTTGGGGGTTGCCCGGTGGAAGTGGAAGGCTCTTTCTGGTGGGGGGGGGGGCTGGGGTGTTGTTGGTCAATGCCCGTGGGGGGGGGGAGCCAATTTTTGTGTTGCCTAGGGCAGCACGAAACCTAAATACACCACTGATTAGATACAATCACTATGTTAGACCTCTGTAGAGCACAGCCATTGCAGTGCACAATATTATCAGTCACAGTGCTTCTTACACTATGTACTAGGGGCTCCTTTCAGTGTGTCACGTACCTTGGTGGAAATCAATGTGGTGAGAGGGCTTCCCATGCAGCTCTGGTCCAAACACACTTTAATGTGGGAACAGGCATGCAAGGCTCATAGATGGTCTGCAGGGATAGAGGTTGATGCAGATAAGAGAACATCTTGCAATCGGCAGTGGTACAGTCTGTGCACTGATTGTGTGGGAATGCCAGACAGGACCTAGAAGTCAGATCTGGCAAACAGGTTCCGAAGAAGCAGACAAAAAGACATAGTCTGGCAGCTGAAGTCGAGGTCATACATGGTCAGACGACAGGAGAGGCAGATGTAGTCAAGAGCTAGGCCAGGGTCATACAGATGGGCAGAGGTAGAAGGAGCAGAGTCTGGAGACAAGCTGGATCAAGCACAGGAGATCAAGGAGTGAGGTCAAGCAGCAAGTTGGGGTCATGATTAGGAGAGAGTCAGACGATATCCAGAAACAGGCCAAGCTGGTAACAGTTAGTCGGGCAGCAGGGTAACCAGGAAGCACAGGAGTAAGGACCTCCTCTAAATAAGCAGCTTGGCACCATTCTAAGGATTGGATGTGCACAGGCTTGCACCAATGCATGCTCCCATGAAGGGCTTCTGTTAGAAACCATGGGGTCCCTTACAGCCAGCCTGACAGCAGGGCCCTCCCAAAAAAGAAAATCAGTTTACTATGCTTTGGTTATGAATGAACACTGAAAGTGATCAGTACTGTTCTCTCATTGTGTTCATTCAGGGAAAAAAGGGCTGGTAAATATGACATATTTACTGGGCAATTCCTCCACTCTCCATTCTGAAGGATCCTATTGTGTGCTGGCAGTTGCTGGTGGAGAAGAAGAGAGGGAAGCCAGTAGTACTGCGGGAATGGGGGCACGCAGAGGGGCCTGGGCAGTAGAGGGAAACATATGGTGCACAGGGAGGGTGATGGGTGTTGCAGAGGGGCAGTTACTGGAACCAATTTCCTGTATGGCTCTGTTTGCAGCAGCTGAGAGCCAGCGGGAGCGGGGGGAGAGGAAGCCAGCTTATAGCTACTGCAGAGAAAGCCATACAGGGGATCGGTTCCAGTAATTGCCCACCCCTCCCCTTACTGTGCCCATCACCGTCCCTGCCCACATCTGAATCACCCAGCTGCCTGAACCCCCCTGCTGGCCTGGGCCCTGTACAGGAGGACTGGTGGTGCCCCCTTATCCATGGGCCTGCTCCCATGTGCGCCGATGCGATGGCACAAACTATGTACTGGCATATGCACACCAGCGTTAGCTGTATGAGTACAGGTTCCCTAACACACTAAATTACTGTACAGTTTGTCTATTCTTGTAAATTTAGCTTCAGTGTCAATTACAATCACAGTGCACTTACTGTACTAATTACCAATGGTCACTACCAACTGTCACTAACTCTTCACACTTTCTGTCAGACAGGGATGATGACATCACCCCAATATTGAACAGACAGAATACATGTGGCAAGCAGGGTCAGTTATACACTCTGTTATTGACCAGACTCAGAGTTAGGAAGCAAACCTGGAAGTAACAGGGACAGATCAAGTGCATCATTTTCCTGCTTGTTCTTGAAAATCCATTACCATGATGAAGAGTAATAGATCATTCCAATCTGTCATTTCATGTGAATTAAAAGAAGCTGCCGATGAGCGAAGAACTGAATCGGGCGGATGGTTTCCTGATTGTGTATGACATCAGCCAAAGATCGTCCTTTGTCTTCGCCAAGACTATAATCTCCAGCCTTCGCGAGGCCAATGTCAGGATGTGTAAGAGGTAATGGGAAAGCAGGACAAGGGACTATTCACTGATCAGAGTCTATCTGGATGTCATTCAGACTGTTGAGACAAATACTGAGCATCAGGAATGTCCATGAGGTCTACTGCAGCAATCGATTTGTTTTCCTATCCAAAATTATGTAGTGCCACGGTAGGCCACTAGAGTTGAATTTAGTTCTTGACCTTCCTGTAACCAGGGAGAGGAACAGTCATTTAGTGGTGTCTGTTCTTGGTGCTGCCGGTGCAGGCTTGGTTACTGTCCCCTGCATCCCACTAAGTTATGGCATACAGTGGGTGGAAGAACACAGAACCTGGCCTGCATAATAATTAGAGATGAGCGAATCGAACCTGGCGAAGTGGAATTTGTTTCGAATTTTAGGAAAAATTTGATTCGCATCGAATCCGAATATTAGCAAACTTCGGATGCGCGAATCGAATTTTTCCCGATCTGCCAATTTTCATCCCTTCTACAGCCGGCAAAAAGTGTCCCTGCAGAGAGCTCCGCTATTTCTGACAGTTCTCTGACAGTTCCTTCACATTTACAGCGGTTGAAACATTGTATCTATTTGTTTCCATTTAGGATACAGATGTTTTTATTCGGAAACAAATAGATACAATGTTTCAACCGCTGTAAATGTGAAGGAACTGTCAGAGAACTGTCAGAAATAGCGGAGCTCTCTGCAGATACACTTTTTGCTGGAATGGAATTCTTCTTCATCCTCATCCTACTTCTTCTTCTTCTTCATCCTCATCCTACTTCTTCTTCTTCTTCATCCTCATCCTTCTTCTTCTTCTTCTTCTTCTTCTCATTCTTCTTCTTCTTCTTCTCATTCTTCTTCTTTTTTTCATTCTTCTTCTTTTCATTCTTCTTTTCATTCTTCTTCTTCTTTTCATTCTTCTTCTTCTTCTTTTCATTCTTCTTCTTCTTTTCATTCTTCTTCTTTTCATTCTTCTTCTTCTTCTTCTTTTCATTCCTCTTCTTCTTCTTTTCATTCTTCTTTTCATTCTTCTTCTTCTTCTTTTCATTCTTCTTTTCATTCTTCTTCTTTTCATTCTTCTTCTTCTTTTCATTCTTCTTTTCATTCTTCTTCTTTTCATTCTTCTTCTTCTTCTTTTCATTCTTCTTTTTATTCTTCTTCTTCTTCTTTTCATTCTTCTTCTTCTTCTTCTTTTTTCATTCTTCTTTTCATTCTTCTTCTTCTTCTTTTCATTCTTCTTCTTCTTCTTTTCATTCTTCTTCTTCTTTTCATTCTTCTTCTTCTTCTTTTCATTCTTCTTTTCATTCTTCTTCTTCTTCTTTTCATTCTTCTTTTCATTCTTCTTCTTCATCTTCTTCGTCGTGCCCCGTGACTGCCCAAATGAGTGAAGTGTGCGGTGATTCTAAGATCGACGGCACTCATCTGCATGTCATACTGACTGACAGTATTATTTCTCTTCCCCAGCAGACTCCAAGGGCATTTAAATTAAAGGTACAGTGTTCTGCACTAATATAAAGGCTCTCTGAAGCCTAGAAACCCTTTTAATAAGTTAAATTCGCAGCGAATAAATTCGCATCGAATCGATTTTCTACCGCAAATTCGGCGAATCAGCCGAATCGAATTTTTGAATAATTCGCTCATCTCTAATAATAATGCCTCTTCAGCCAATCCCTGGTCAGTCGAGTGTGTGACCAGCAGGGGGCTGAGAGGGGTATAAATAAGCTGGAACTCAGAATAGAACTCTTGTTCCTGGAGGAGCATAACCCAGCTTGAGGGCTATGGCATCCTGGGGAGAATACCTGCAGCTGCAAAAAATCCTTTTTGGGGTCCCAGCTTCTGTTTTAACTGGGGGACCTCTGGCTTCATGAATATTTGCCAAAATATCATCTATAGATCCAGGACACAGGCAAATCAAGTACAGAAACTGACTCATATTGCAGGCGGCAATACAGTATTCAGGGCACAGTGAGTACCAGGCTCTTGGACTTGGAAACTTTCTTTAGCATAATTTGGGAGAGCTTTTTTCAGTATATTCAGGACGATACTCCTGTTGAGGAGACTCTGTTTAGTACAAGTTTACTTTTGCCTTAAAGGGGTTTCCCTTACCCTGAAGGAGTAGATCAGTTTTAGTGTCCTATACTACAATTTGTTGCAGTTCACTGGAGTATCCCGAGGTTCACCCTCAACCTATCCCAGTTCTTTAACATAATAAAACCAGAAAAAGACATGTGCAGCCTGTTCCCTGACTCAAGTGACTGAACTACCGTGTGCCTGGGTGCTGTATGCCTATCAGGGAATGGAACCTGGGACCAAACAGCCAGACCGGTCCCAGGTCTGCACTACAATTATTTTGTCTAGGTGATGCAGACAATGGTGACTCTTCAGTGTAAAAATGTTGCCACCCAATTCCAATGATCATTCTTGTTCTCTTATGCTTTTCATTAAACCTATAATCCAGCATTATCACCAAAGCTTTATATCTGACTGGAGTTTAGGTTTAAGCTGACCAAAGTTTCATGTATACATGAGAAGATCACAGGTCCCCATTAAATAAGCCCATATATGTTCTTCATAGCAAGCCCAAACATATATAGCTGTTATGAGGCCTTCATAATATATGTCTGAGCACAATATACACATACCCTTTATTTGTACGTGTTTGGGTTATGCTGTCAGTGCTTGGGGCCTCTCCACCATATTTTCTTTGATATTGTCATGTTTGCCGTTGCAGAGACACAGAGGCAGGGCTCTTCTTAATCGGTAACAAGCAGGACCTGTGCCACATTCGGGAGGTGCCACAGGAGGAGGGGCAGAAGGTGGCCTTGGAGCATCGCTGTCACTATTTTGAACTCTCTGCAGCTGAACAATGTCAGGAGGTCCATGCCATGTTCACTACCATTGTCAGAAATATCATCTTACAGAGCAAGATGAAAGACAAGAGGCGTCCAAGTGGCTCTATGGCCAAACTGATCAGCAACGTCTTTGGGAAGAGGCGGAAATCCGTCTGAGCAGTTTTCATGGCATTTATGAATAGGAAAAAATATTTGTTTATTGCTTCACCCCTCTATCCCACCTCTGATTCAACACCCTTATACTTCATGATAAGTGGTTTGAATAACCATATAATATATCTCTTTACCAGGGGCAGACTGACCATTTGGAAACTCGGGCACTGCCCGAGGGCCCGGGGTCAGTAGGGGGCCCTATGAGATGCCCCTGGTACCTTTTTCATAGGCTTTTTTGAGTTTGGGCAAGGACACAGGGGCCCCATGATCCCCTATTGCCCGGGGGCCCCATGAGTTGTCAGTCCGCCCCTGCTCTTTACCCATAGTAACAACTCCACACTCCCCACACACTGCTGAGATACTAAACACATGTTAAGAGCTGCTGTACGGTGAAAGGCCTGAATAATATACATCAAGGACTATACATCTTATCTCTGCCTGATCAGATCTCCGAGGATATTGCCATGTGAGGGGGTAATGTGTCTTCTTTTTTTTTTCGTTCACATTTGTAAATTTTGTTGTATATATGTTGGTACATTAGATTCCATTCCACAAACAGAGAGCAGGCTCACCTAAAGGGATCCCCCTCTTCCTCAAAGTACAGCAATACACCGGAAGCCCACATATCACCTTAACAAGATTGCCGAACATTTCCAGTGTGTCCAGGGGCGGACTGACCATTTGAAAACGCGGGCGCTGCCCGAGGGCCCGGGGTCAGTAGGGGGCCCCATGAGATGCCCCTGGTACCTTTTTCATAGGCTTTTTTTTAGTTTGGGCAAGGACACAGGGGCCCCATGATCCCCTATTGCCCGGGGGCCCCATGAGTTTTCAGTCCGCCCCTGAGTGTGTCTGCACCAAATTCCAAAAAGCAGCAATGGAAGTCACTCTGCTCTGTTTGAAACTAGCAAAATGAAGAAAAATGCACAAGGGCAAGGCAATATACAAAGGAGGTGGCTTTCTCTAGGTGAGCCTGCTATCAGTTAGGGCATTGTTATATACTGTATAAGTCTGAGAGTTGGCTACTATAGTTTTGAATTAGGGACCCCCCGTGTTTTAGACATGCCTCAATGCAGCAGTGTGGCAGTGGCTGTGTATTTGCAGATTTATGCAACAAAAACCTGTTTTTAACCTGAGCAGATGAAACTGGTTTCATTTTTTTATGGCCAGCTTTATTGTGTGCTAAGGTTCCCTTTTGTATATTCCCTTGTCCATATGTCCTTTCCTTTTTTTTTAACTAGTTTTAAACTGATCAGAGTGGCTGCCAGTGTTGCTTTCTTGTATTTGGTGCACACTCTGGAAGTCTTCAGTTGCTTTGCAAATGTGATGCCTGGGCTTCTGGTGTTTTGCTGTATCTTTTACAAGAAGGGGCTGCTGCCAGGTGAGCCTGCTCTCTTGGTATAGAATCTAATATACTAACATTAGATTCAATAGAACATTGGAATTCTTTCAGATGGCCCACCTATGTACCACCCCATCCTAAACAGGGGCTACCAGTAAATTTAGCTTTGCTGGGTGATAGGTAACCTGACTAATTTGTAGTTTGATCATTTGGGCTTCCCCTAACTTCAGTGTAGCTGTAGTTCCTTTTTTTGCCAGTAGGTGCCACTGGTACCTCTGGCATTAGTATGATGAGCTACAGTGAAACTGGGTTATGAATATGCATACTTCTCCTAGCCAACCAGTAGGAGCTTCCTGGCCACTGGTGCATGCTGGGAGGGAGTAGAAGTTACTTTACATAGACTGAGAACTGTGGGGAGCCTGGGAAAGTGTGAAGATGGACTCATCTGGTCTTTTTCTGCACTTTACTGTAAATTATGGTTGCTACTGGAGACAGCTGTTGCTAAGAAGGTATAGAAAGCTGGGTACAGCTAAAAGGCTGTTTTCTGTACCGCAGTCTATTTTTGGTGGAGTCTGCTAGCCTTTATGTCTGCTTATTTTAGGGTGCCCTGTGTCTTTACCCCTCTCTCCCTGAAATTTCTTTGAGTGAGCAATAAACACTCTTTTTGTTCTGTTTTAAAAGTGGCTGGCACCCATCTTTTCACATCCCAGGATTCCTAGCAATCTACATCCTGAGGTGAATGTCAGCACACCCTGTCTCTGGGGGTCAGAAGGCGATCGGGATTAGATTGTTAGATCCTGCGCACACTGTGACAGCTTTCTGTGTAATAAACACCTGAGAGTCCACAGCAAGTCACTAGAACAAGTATATTGTATAAATCTTGGAATATCACTGCACTGAGGACTCTGCCCTGTATCTGTGTGTCCTGCATGCTGGATTGAGTATACTAGGGATACCAAGAAAAGACTCTGGATGAGGTCTGCATGAAGCAGAAAAAGACACTGAGAAATGTTCTTTAGAAACTGATGTCAGAGAAGAGGTGGAGAAAGAGTCCAATTTCTGCAGGAGGGCAGGAGAAAAGCACAAGGAAAAGCAGCTGATGAAACAGAGTCACTGCCCTGTTCAGAGACCTCAGGAGGCAACTAGACCTGGAGAAGCGAGTGCCTGGAGGGGGATCTCTAGACAGGCAGCAAGGGTCTTACTCTCATTGTCTGATCTGATCAGCAGCTAGAAATAAAGAAGGATGAGCTGTCCAGGAAGAAGTGTCATATTGAGGAGCTGTGTAAAATGATGGATCCAATGATATTCCTGCAGGAATCAGACACAGGTGATTTGCGTGATACTGAAGATGGAAATCATAACAGCGAGAAACCTCATAAATTCCTCCATGCCAGAAGGGATGTGGCTGGGATCTCACAAACATGTGTAGGTCTATGTAGAGATAAATGTATGCTACTATATACAGGAACTTGCAGAAGTATTGCTGAATCTACAGACAGCAACTATTTTACCACGCCTTGTCAGATGGCAAGAAACTTACAGCCATTGTAACTAAAGGGCAACATAAACCACAAGCACCAAAACGAATCCAATGGTATCCTAAATTATTTAGCATGTAATCTCTCCTCAGGGCAGAATTACTGGGAAGTGGATATTAGGAGATCAGATGATTAGTCTATCGGGACTAGACAGAACAATAGTCCAGCCATCGAGGGGAGCTTGGAATTGATATCAGTGTTATCTACTAATCACTCCACCAATAAAGTCCAGGTATATCTGAATTATAGCAAAAATAGAATAACGCTGTGCTAGCCAAACAAACCCTCAAATATAAAAAATTTAAATAAAAAGTAAGCAAACAAATGTTGCAGCCTGAACACCACAAACAAGTGGTTCCCACACCACAAAAAAAGTGAAAAAAATTCAAAGTGCAGCGCAACACTAGGAACAACTTAAATGTGCAATATAATAAAGATAATTACACCATAAATGAAACAAACATCATAAAGTAAAGTATATATATTAATCTCAAAATGTCTTGCATCATTAGTGATGGACCGAACACCCCCCTGTTTGGTTCTCAGTCGAACATTCGATCGGCTATTTGCCTGGATCGTGACTGCAGAGAGGTCCGTGCATGCGGCTTCTCCGTTATATCTCCATTGCACTACAGGAAAATGGCGCCCGCGAATTGCGCATGTGCGGATGTCCGTGCCCTATAAATAGACTGTAGTAGACGTCCAACGGTAGGCACACTCCTTTTGATAATGTGCTATTGCACGAAACGCGTTAAGGAGGAGCCCTAACGTTGTGACATCACACTGCCGGAGCCGAACGGAGGTCCAGCGGCCATTTTGGAAAGTGGTTTACACAGCCACCTGGAGAGCTATACATCTGGTTTTCATTATACTTTGTGCACTTTATTTCCTCATTGTCTGAAGATATTTGGAGATCTTTTTAACTGCTTTGAATAAGCATCCATAATAAATTTGATACCTTTGGAAAATACTACACTATAAGCCTTTTTTATATATGGCTTGGCTTTGAGCCAACTGCTCGTGGAGACCCCAAGAGGAAGAGGAGCTGAACTAGAGGCTGGTGTCCGGATAGAGGATCCATACTCCTGGCAGGCTGACTGATCTACCTTAAAGGGGACCCCGCAGAGAGTTTATATGTAATGCACAAATTCCATGTGCATCTGGTGAGTGCACATTTTATATGATTGGAGCACGGAGTCACATCACAAGGATTTATTAGTGACGAAGTTGGATTTTACTATCTGCTTTGCTGACCATTTTGAGTCAAGCCTTCACCAATTCTTGTGCATATTAAACTTTATTTTTGTGCATACAGTCCTCCACCCACTCCGAAGGGAACACCCTGGACCTTGTTTTCTCCCATTTCTGCACCCCCCACAACCTCACAAACACCCCTTTTCCTCTCTCTCTGACCACAACCTCATTACCTTTTCCATCTCCTCGTCCTCATACACCTACCCCTCCAAACGTCAAACCATCACCAACGAAACCTCCACAAACTGGACCCTACCCCCTTCCACTACTGTCTATAACAACTTGCTGTCAGTCGCTCTTGACTCTTTAGCACCCCTAACCACACAAAACATTAGACCCGGACCACTTCAACCCTGGCAGAATGACCATACAAAAAACCGCAAACGACGCAGTCGCGCGCTAGAGCAACTATGGCACAAAACCAGATCCAAACAAGCGTTCTCCCAATATAAATCCATCTTCCTCACCTACACTTCCTCCCTCGACACTGCCAAGCAAGCCTACTTTGTAACCCTCATCAATACCCTCTCCTCCAACCCTCGCCGGCTCTTCTCCACCTTCAACTCTCTGCTCTCTCCGCCCCTTCCTCCACCCAGTACCTCACTCACCGCCCACGAGATTGCTAACCACTTCCAAAGCAAGATCGACGCAAGTAGGGACATCACCACTGCTCAGACTTCCACCCCACCTAGCATCCCTCACACAAAAACCCCTCAACACTCCTCTCCTTCGACCTCGCCACCGTCCAGACCTCTACCCCGCCCAACACTCCCCACGCTCAAACCCCCTCAACACTCCACTCCTTCGACCCTGCTACCACTGACGAGGTCACTAAGGTCTTTTCTAAAGCTCACCCTACCACCTGCCCCCTTGACCCTGTCCCCACACAACTCCTACAATCACCCTCCTCCTCCATCCTACGCTCCCTCACTCACATCTTCAATCTCTCCCTCTCTACTGGCACATTCCCCTCCCCTCTGAAGCATGCGCACATCACTCCCATACTTAAAAAACCCTCCCTGTATCCCACTGACCTAAACAACCTTAGACCCATCTCCCTGCTGCCATTTTCATTCAAACTCCTTGAGCGTTTAGCCTATAATCGCCTAAGCTCCCACCTCACCGACAACAACCTCCTTGATCCCCTACAATCTGGCTTCCGTCCCGTACACTCCACCGAAACCGCCCTACTCAAACTCACCAAGACCTGCTAACTGCCAAAGCCAAAGGCCACTAGTGCTACTACTCCTCGACCTCTCTGCAGCTTTCGACACAGTTGACCACCCCCTCCTCCTCAAAAAACTATACACTTTTGGCCTCATAGACTCCGCTCTCTCCTGGCTCTCTTCCTATCTATCACAACGCTCCTTCAGTGTTACCTATAACGCTGACACCTCCCCCTCACTCTCCGTTGGGGTCCCCCTAGGTTCTGCCCTCGGGCCCCTTCTCTTCTCCATCTACACCTCCTCCCTTGGTCAACTGATACACTCTCACGGCTTCAACTACCATCTCTATGCCGATGACATTAAAATCTGTCTCTCCACCCCTCGCCTCACCCCTTCAGTCTCCACCCTAATCACTAGCCTTCTGAACGACATATCAGACTGGATGTCACTCCACTTCCTCAAACTAAACCTTGCTAAAACCGAGCTCCTAGTTTTCCCCCCAGCCCGTGCCCCCCCCCCGACCTTTCCATCACGACCAACAACGCCACCATCAGCCCCACCCCCCGCAAGCCAAAGTACTAGGTGTCATTCTAGACTCCAATCTGTCTTTCCAGCCCCAGATCCCATGGCTGACAAATTCATGCAGACTCCACCTCTGCAAAATCTCCAAAATACGCACGTTGCTAACTCCAGAAACCACAAAGCAACTCATTCACTCCCTTATCATATCACGACTTGACTACTGCAACTCCCTCCTCACCGGCCTACCCCAACACAGGCTATCCCCGCTTCAGTCTATCCTGAATTCTGCGGCCAGACTCATCCACCTCACCAACTGCTCCGTATCCGCCTCCCCCCTCTGCCAATCCTTCCACTGGCTTCCGATTGCCCAACGCATAAAATTCAAAATATTAACATTGACGTACAAAGCTGTTCATAACACTGCCCCAAACTACATCACTGACCTGATATCCATCTACCACCCAAAACACACTCTCTGCTCCTTACAAGACCTCCTACTCTCCAGTTCCCTGGTCTCCTCCCATGCCCGTCTCCAGGACTTCTCCAGGGCTTCCCCCGTCCTCTGGAACTCGCTACCCCAATCCATCAGACTGTCACCTACCCTCCTCGCCTTTAGGCGCACCCTGAAAACCCATTTCTTCAGAGAAGCTTACCCAGCCCTCACCTAATTGCTGATCTCCTCCGCTCTTCCCACCACTCCATCCCCCACAGCTATTTCCTCCTGTACCACTCTCCCCTCCATCCTAGATTGTAAGCTCCAAGGAGCAGGGCCCTCGAACCCCTCGTGTATTGCATTGTATTGTTACTGTACTGTCTCCCACTATAATGTACAGCGCTGAGCAAACTATTGGCGGTATATAAATACTGTATAATAATAATATATAATTTTATTTGGTGCAATTAGCACCGTACACATATGAATGTGGTTTAATTATATGGTTTTAGACTGAATTTTAGCGCTGCACCTATCTTTATTTATTTATTGGCATATACTGGGTTTTGGATATCCTAAGTTGGTGCAATTGCAGCTGGACATTTGTATTTACTTAATATTTATAATCTGAATTTTATATAACCTGAGCGCTCGCTATACACATGTGCATTTTTGGTAAATGTTAAAAACAGATTGCTTCCTTAAGGATACACTTCTATGAATACCAAATGTACATTCTACATATGTTGTGCTGCACTTTGAATTATCTTCACTATATCTGAACTATGATGCCGGGCAGATCTCGCTTACTGGTGACAGCAAATGGGAACAGTTCTTGGTCTAATATAATGAAAACAAGGGTCACCTATAAATGTAACTATTTAATTGACATTTGTTGATATTTGAAGTGTACCTAATTCCATAAATGTCTTAGTGAGGGAAGGGATGCCATGCTTCATAGGTGGCTGAGTGAGAGGAAGGAGGGAGGCCATGGTCCATTGGTGGCTGAGTGAGGGGAGAGAGGCCATGCCTCATAGGTGGCTGAGTGCGGGAAGGGAGGCTGTGCCCTATAGGTGGATGAAGGAGGGGAGTGGGGCCATGCCTCTTAGGGGTCTGAATGACAGAGGGCAGGTAAGCTGTGCTTCATTGATCATCAATTGATTGTTCACTTTAGAAGAGACACAGTCATTGCGTGATGTGGTTTTTTTTTATCAATAAAGCCAACAATGGTCTTCAGGAGTGGCAAGGATATTGTTAACATGAATAGCTTATGATAATAAACAAAAGACATTCAGAAATTTAAAAAAAAAATAAAAGACACCAAAGCATAAGTTATAAAAAAATGTAAAAAAAAAATCCATGTCATTATTCTTGTTTTGTTTTGCTTCTTAATATTTTGTTCTTATTTGCAGTCTTTAATACTTTGTCCTCCAGAGGATTAACTCCCCTTCCTAACCAGGCCATTTTTTGTGATACGGCGCTGCATTACTTTAACTGACTATTGCATGGTCATGCAACACTGCACCCAAATGAAATTTACATCCTTGTTTTCCCACAAATAGAGCTTTCTTTCGGTGGTATTTGATTGCTTGTATGTTTTTTATTGTTTGCACTATAAACAAAAAAAGACCGACAATTTTGAGAAAAAAAACAATATTTTTGACATTTTGCTAATAAACATGTCTGCTAAAAAAATTAAAAAATCAAATTGCGTCCTAAATTTAGGCCCAAATGTATTCTGCTACAAGTCTTTGCTAAATAAAAATCCCCATACGTGTAAATTAATTGGTTTACGTGAAAGTTATAGCGTTTACAAATGGCGGTATAGATACTGGAATTTTTTTCCTTTATTTTACTAGTAATATCAGCGACTTATAGCGGGACTGTGGGACTGGCACTTGATGTCACTGACATCCCCAGTGACACTAATACAGTGATCAGTGCTAATAAAAAGCACTGACATGTTAATAATGGCACTGGGCGGGAAGGGGTTAACATGTGGGGTGATCAATGGGTTAACTGTGTGCTCTGTGTTGTTGTGCTGTGTGTGTTTTACACTGTAAGCACACTGCTTTGTATGGTTCTGCATAGAAGAGCCATACAAAGTAGTGTGCAGGTGCTGACAGGGGAGAGATCTGTGTTGTTTATACACAGGTCTCTCCCCCTTCGGTAATTCATGGAGATCGCCGGGTGCTGGCAGGGAATCACTGGCCAGGACCCGGTGATTGACAGAAGGCCATGAATGGTGTGATTTTTCTCACCTGTGCCGCCCTGTAGCAGTATTTCTGCTATAGGGTGGCTTGAACGTGGGTAAAGGCAAAACAGTAATCAAAAGACAATACACAAGAATGTATTTGTGTTTTTTTCCCTTATTTTTGGTGGATTTTGTTATATGTAAAAAATTAAAATAATAAAATACACAAAACTGTAAGAGAAAACAAACACGTTTTTCTGGTCTGTCTCTTTGGGTTAGAGACAGAAGAGAACCTTAAGGTCCCTTTCAGACGGGGCGGACCCATCAGTGGGTCTGCCTGCTCAACGGGGATCTCTCTGCTGATCCTCGCTGAGCAGGTGGATGACAGGTCAGTGTCCGCTCCACTGCTGTACAGCACAGACACAGCCCGCTATTTTCTATGGGGCAGTTGGATGGAAACGGACCATCAGTCAGTTTCCACCCGACTGTCATCCGATGCCCTGGATGGATGGGGAACGGATCCCCATCCACCAGTTTTTGGCGCACAAGATCAAGTTGGATGCTGGCAGGTGTCTGCGGACAAGTGTCTATGGGAGTCTATTGATGGTCCGATCTGTCAGTTTTTCAGGCAGACTCGATCGGAACCGTCACTGTGAAAGGGGTCTAAACTGAAATTCCAGTCAACAAATTTGTCCCTGCTTACTATGTTAAATATCTTTAATGGTGATATTCTGCATTTTCACACTGGCTGATTGTATAGCTTAGAAAAACTAATCTGAGCTAGACAATCAGCTGTCTTTTGTTCTTTACTGCCAACATTTTGCCTGCTCAGCTGAAATTGGCAGCTCACAGGCACTTCCTGAAACTGTTGTGGGTCTCTGTTACACAAATCCAGCAGAAGTTTTAGTAAACTCTGTATTTTCCAGTTCTGCCCAGCACCAACTCCATCCTTCCCAGCCATCTGCAGAAAATTTTAACATTTAACACTTTGACCTTCCCAGCCAGTGTCATTAGTAGAATGACAGTGCATATTATTAGCACAGATCATTGTATTAGTGTCACTGGTTCCTACATCACAGCCCCGCTATAAGTCGCTGATCGCCCTTAAAGACTGCTATGGCCCTACCTTTTTTGTCGATAAAAATGTGATACACTTGTGATTTTTGACCCTCTCCCTCTAAGAATGCTCATTGCCTGGTTATCACAGTAATGTAACGTCCTGGGTTGGCTCGCTGGCCAGTAAGCCATGAGCACAGTGGCCATTTGCGGATGATGGAGGCCACTATGCTCATTGGGACCTTCAATGCAGCAGAAATTTTTCTGTACCCTTCCCCAGATCTGTGCCTTGATACAATCCTGTTCCGGAGGTCTATGGACAATTCTTTGGACTTCATTGCTTGGTTTGTGCTCTGACATGCACTGTTAACAGTGGGACCTTATATAGACAGGTTTATGCCTTTCCTAATCATGTCCAATCAACTGAATTTTCCGCAGGTGGACTCCAATCAAGTTGTGGAAACATCTCAAGGATGATCAGTGGGAACAGGATGCACCAGAGCTCAATTTTGAGAGTTACGGCAAAGACTGTGAATACTTATGAACATGTGTGTTTTTTTTTTTTTCGTTTTTTATTTTTTTTAATAAATTGCAACGATTTCAAAATGAACTTCTTTCATGTTCCATTATGGGGTATTGTTTGTAGAATGTTGAGGAAAAAATGAATGTAATCCATTTTGGAATAAGGCTGTAACATAACAAAATGTGGCAAAAGTTAAGCACTGTGAATACTTTCTGGATGCACTGTAGCTGCAGAATAGCACAGAAAAAAACATTAACCCTCTTGCAGGCACCTGCCTACAATCTGGCGCATAATTGTTTTAATTATCTTAGGAAAAATTCTTCATTGTCGCTTTTTTTTTTCGTGTGGTTCATAGCAATGATTAGAGTAGTTTGAAGGAACCAAACCCTTTACTGGCCAGTTGTCACCTCCTTGAGGAAGGGGGGAGGGGTGTTCATGGCAGCAAAGAAATCCTGAATGATAATATGGCCCACCATTTTTTTAATTATCTCAGGAAAAGCTCTCCATTGTCACACTAGTGCAGTCAGAGAACAATTCACCCACATTATTCCATCCACACCCAAATTCATATCTGTATGGAAGATGCAGAACTAATCAGCACAGCAGAAGAAAAAAGAATGTGCCTTTTGTAATAAAAAAAAAAATAAATAACAACGTGAAAACCTCCCGTATGGTCTAAAATGACACCCTGCTTACTTTTTTTTTTCCCCGTGTAGTTCCTTTGCAGTTGGAGTTGGAATATCGCGTGTGAATTCATCAGATAACAATCTACTGTCTGTATTTATATAAACTGGTATTTCTGGTCTGGAGGGAGAATGCTGATTTCCTGCAAGTTGGTTGACAAGTTTCTAAATTTTGTATATCTTTTAGGAAATTTTAAAAAATGGAAATTGCGCATTTCAGCAACAGCAAACGTGCACCTGCTGAGTTTCACAAAGAAGTCATTATGAGAGGAGAAATTCCCAGAGAGCTCTAGATGATATCTACAGTATGTTTCATGTAAGAACAGGGCATACAGGAGGAGGGTGAATTGTGAACTCACATGAGGAACCATACATCTGACATTAAGACACTAATCCACCATCGATTTGCGGCACTTACCTGAAAATTTCCAACCAGCCAGTGGTTTTCATACAGGATGTCTCCTCTCTATGAGTATGACTGTTCCAACAATACAAAACACAGAGCTCCAGTCCTATAACTGAAATAATATCCTTCAGCATGTTAGGTTTAAAAGGTGCCCCTCTGTGTCTCAGAGCATTACTGATCATGGAATCTGTTGCATTTATTTACATATTATGCATTTCTGCAGACAAGATGAATGATTTGTAAAGTGCCATTACCCATAGCAACCACGTTTCACTATCACTCAGAGCAATGAGATAATTGCTAGCCATCTTTCACATGCAGAGCACCAAATTCACTGCTTTATGCTCCTCACACAAATATAATTTCTTTCACATATCAGATGCCCCTAATAATTTGAAGCCTCCCATCCAGGGCTCCCAGGATAGTCCACCCTATGAGGAGAAGAATACGTAGCCCTATGAGGATCAGAATATGTAGCCTTATGAGGTTCAGAATACTCCGCCCTTTCAGGAGCTGGATACACAACTCCATGAGAAGCAGAATACTCTGCCCCATGAAGAGCAGAATCTCCACTCAATCAGTAACAGAATTCTCCACCCCCATATGGGTGAGTACCCCCTCCATGAGGAATAACCTACTTTGCTCCATGAGGAACAAAACACTCCCTCCACAAGGAACAGAATACTTTGTCTCATGAGGAAATGAATACTCTGCTTCATAAGTAACAGAGAACTCCACCCCATAAGGAACTTTTCTCTATAATGTACCATGCACTCTGCCACATGATGGTCTCAACAACGCACCCCATGAGGTACAGAATACTCAACCCATGAGGAAGAGGACATTTTGTCACATGAGGTCAACAATATTCCATTCCATAAAGAACAAAATACTCTGCCCCATGAGGAATAGAATATACTGCGCCATTAGAAACCGAATACTCCACCCCAAGTATTACAGAATTTTCCCCCTATGAGAAACAGAATACTCTGCCCCATAAGGTACAGAATGTACCACTTTATAATGTAAAGAATATTCTAATTAATGAGTGTTGGATACCTCATCCCATGAGGAATAGGACGCTCTGCCCCAGGAGGTACAGAACAATCTGCCCCATGAGGTACAGAATACTCCAACCCATAAGGTACAAAGCAAACCATCTCATGAGGTAGAGAACACTCCACTCTGTTGGTTAGCAGGGTTGCCAATCTCTTGCCACTTACTGTTGCTGATGTCTAAATCTAAATCCCTAAGAGAGAGAGAGAAGGAAGAGGGAGAGAGAGTAAGAAAAAGAGGGAATAAAGAGTGAGAGAGAGAAAAGGAGATTAAGAAAGGAGAGTAAGCCCTGATTTACTTGGGCGTTGGTTTCATTTAAATGCAAAAGAAATTGATTTAGGGAGTATAAAAAAAAACTTTATTATCCCCAGACCAACTAGCCTATTGTAGCACCCTCCTAATTTAAGGATGCTAGGTAAATTTAGTGTAGCTTGCTCTGTAGCTAGAGAGCTGTTATTGGTTTTGGTCTGGGCATTTGATTAATTCCCCAAGCGTTTGCTAAGAGTTTTCCAGAGCTCAGGACAGGGAAATTAAAATGCCCATGCTGGACTCTTACCTTGCCTCAGCCAATCCCAGGGGAGGTGTGCCCTGATGGTGGGCGGGAGGCAGATAAATAGCCGGTAGCCCAGAGAGATCTGCTCTTCCCCTGGAGGAATGGGGGCTGTGTGCTTCAGAAGGCTGCTAAGCCCTGAAGTCTTCCTGACTGGCTACTGTACTACTTTCTCCCTTGCATTGAGTCCATGGCCTTGCTTCTACTGGAATTCATGAGTAGAGCCCAATCTCCTGAGCTGCAATTTATCTGTAGTCCCCAGCTGGATGTTACATACTGCTCCAGTATGCCTAGTGTGCTATCCATCTTGCAGTCTTTCCCTGTTCTTTGGCATCTGCAGGGAGAGATTCTTGGGAGGGGCTTTTATTGCTCAGCTGATATGCCCTCCACAGCGTGAGTCTGTGTTTGAGCAGCCCGGATTCGTGCTGTACCAGTCATATCACTAAAAAAACTGTTTCAGAAGAGCAATTCAAATTAAATTATAAATATCAAAAAAAGTTTTACAACTCCCTCTAAATCTATTTTCTTTTTCAATATATTTATTGGTTTTGAAAATGAACATAAGAAATCAAAAGCAAGCAAATGAAACTCCTTTGCAGGGGCTAAATAGTGAGTAATCATTACGGACTGATTAAGGAGGGTTACAGTCATGGAAACCAAAATAAAAGAATTCTGAATCATTGGGATGATACCAATAAGTTGAAAATGAAAACAGCCATGTCCCTAAAATCTACTCTCAGTCAACGAAGGGGAGGTTCTTCTCCTGCAACCAACCCAT